GTAGTGGTGCAATTTCGGCTCACTGCAGTCTCCACCTCCTGGGTTCAAGCAATTCTCCTGCCTCAGCCTCCCAGGTAGCTGGGATGACAGGCGCACACCACCACGCCCAGCTAATTTTTTTTGTATTTTTAGTAGACATGGGGTTTCACCATGTTGGTCAGGATGGTCTTGATCTCTTGACCTTGTGATCTGCCCACCTCGGCCTCCCAAAGTGCTGGGATTACAGGCATGAGCCACCACACCTGGGCTCAACCTCATCTTAAACTACAAAGGTGACATGATACGATCTTCTGAAAAGGACCTTTTGTTTTGTTTTGTTTTTGTGTTTGTTTTTGTTTTTGAGAGGGAATCTCACTCTGTCTCCCAGGCTGGAGTATAGTGGAGTAATCTTGGCTCACTGCAACCTTTGCCCCCTAAGCTCAAGGGATCCTCCTACCTCAGCCTCCAAAGTAGCTGGGACTACAGATGTGCACCACCATGCCAAGCTAAGTTTTTGTGTTTTTGGTAGAGACAGAGTTTCACCATGTTGTCCAGGCTGGTCTCGAACTCTTGAGTTCAAGCAATCCACCCAACTTGGCCTCCCAGAGATTATAGGTGTGAGCCACCATGCCTGACCTTAAAAGACTTTTTTCTTTTAACGTGAAATTCACATACATAGAATTAACCATATTAAAGTGAACAATTTAGTGGCCTGTATTCACAATGTTTCTCAACCACTACCTCTATTTTCAAAAATACTGTCATCACCCCAAAAGGAAATCTCCTAGCCATTAAGCAATTGCTCCCTATTCTCTCCTGCCCTCAGCCTCTGGCAACCACCAATCTTCATTCTATCTCTTTGGATTTTCCTATTGTGAATATTTCCTATCAATGGAACCGTGCAATAGATGACCTTTTGTGTCTGGCTCCTTTCATTCAGCATAATGTTTTCAAGTATCATCCACATAGGTACTTCATTTCTCTTCATGGCTGAATAACATTCCATTGTATGGATATGCCACAATTTGTTTATCTATTCATCCATGGATGGATATTTGGGCTGTTTCCACCTTTCAGCCATTGTAAAAAGTGTTGTTGTGAACATGCATGTACATCTTTGAGTAGCAGTAGCAGACAAATACAGTCCTCATTTATCCACTTCTTGGAATTGCTGAGTCATATGATAATTCTATGTTTAACTTTTTAAGAAACTGCCAAACTGTTTTCCACCATGGCTGAGCCATTTTACATTCCAACCAGCAATGTGAAAGAACTACTTCGCATCCTGATCAACACTTGCTATTATTTGTCTTTTCTTAATTATAGCCCTCTTAGTAGGTGTGAGGTGGAATACTCAGTGGTTTTGATTTGCGTTTTTCCAATGACTAATGATGCTTAGTATGTTTATGTGCTTGTTGGCCATTTGTACATTCTCTAAGGAGAAATATCTATTCGAGTTTTTTCCCATTTAAAAATATTTATTTGTTTATTCTTAGAACGTGGGTCTTCCAATATTACCTAGTCCACACTTGAAATTCTAGGCTCAAGTGATTCTTCTCCTGAGCAGCTGGGGCTGCAAGCACATGTGACCCTGCCCTGCACTTTTTGCCCACTTTTAACGTTGGGTTGTTTGTCTTTTTATTGTTGAGTTGTAAAAGTTATTTATATTCCAGATAGTAGACCCTTACCAAATATATAATTTACAAATATTTCTGGCCATTCTGTAAGTTGTCTTTTTGCTTTCTAAAAATATCCTTTGATGCACAAAAGTTTCTAATTTTGATGAAGTTCAATTTATTTGTTTGTTTATTGTTCATACTTTTGCTGTTCTATGTAAGAATTCATTGCCAAATCCAAGATCATGAAGATTTATCATTGTTTTCTTCTAAGAGTTTTGTGGTTTTAACTCTTATATTTATGCTATTAATGCATTTTAAGGTAATTTTTGCTTATGGTATAAAGTAGACATCCAACTTAACTTTTTGCATGTGGTTATTCAATTGCTCTAGCACCATTCGTTGAAGAGATTATTCTTTCTCTACTGCATAAACTTGGTGTCCTTGTCAAAAATCAACACCATAAATGTATGAGTTTATTTCTGGACTTTTAATTCTCTTCCATTGATCTGTATGCCTATCCTTATGCCAGTACCACACAGTTTTAATTATTGTATCTTTGTAGTAAGTTTTGAAATTGGGAAGTATGACTCTTTCAACATTGTTCTTTTTCTTCAATATCATTTTGGCTATTTGAGGTTCCTTGGAATTACACTCACATTTGAGGATTGGCTTTTCTATTTCTGCAAAAAAAAAGTCATTAATATTATGATGGGAATTCCATTGAGTATGTACATCACTTTGGGCAGTACTGCCATCTTAACAATATTAAGTCTCCAACCTATGAACAAGAATGCCTTTCCATTTCTAGGTCTTCCTTAAAATTTTTCAACAATGCTTTTATAGTTTTCAGTGTACAAGTCTTTTATCACCTTGGTTAAACTTATATCTGGGCATTATATATTTAGAGAGAATGCCAAAAAGGACCATCCTTACTGATGTGCAGAGAATAGTCCTCACAGAACAAAGGTTAAAAGCAGCAAGATGCATTGGGTATTCCTGGTGAGAGATGATAATGCCTTGGGCAACAGGATAGTCTAAGGAATGGCAAGAAATGGTTGAATTTGGAATAACTTTTGAAGGTACAGACAAAAGAAGATTGACTGAGATATGGGAAAATTCTGAGTTAAGGATCACTTCAAGGTTTTTGACCTAAGCAATTGGTGAATGGTGGTGTCATTTACTGAGATGGAGAACACTGGACAAGGCACAAGGGAAAAACAAATAATTTACTTTTTTTTTTTTTTTTTTGAGACGGAGTTTCGCTCTTGTTACCCAGGCTGGAGTGCAATGGCGTGATCTTGGCTCACTGCAACCTCCGCCTCCTGGCTTCAGGCAATTCTCCTGCCTCAGCCTCCTGAGTAGCTGGGATTACAGGCATGCGCCACCAGGCTCAGCTAATGAAAAATGAAGAATTTAATTTGGACAAGTTAAGTTTGAATTGTCTGTTAGAGATGGTTATTGCTTATCACAATTTACAATTGCATATTCATTTTTAAATTTCTTTATTATTATTATTTGTAGTTTTGATAGCTAGAAACGACAAATAATGTGTAGTTGTACATATTATTGTACAACTGTGTTGTTAATGCTGTATCCCTCAGTGGGCAGCAAACTACATGAGGATAAGAACAAAATCTGTCTTATTCACTGTTGTATCCTCACACCTAACACAATGCCTGGCACATAGTAAGTTATCACTAATTTTTTTTTAAAACATTCTTTTTTTTTTTTTTTTTTGAGACAGAGTTTCGCTGTTGTTACCCAGGCTGGAGTACAATGGTGTGATCTCAGCTCACTGCTACCTCCACCTCCTGGGTTCAAGCAATTCTCCTGCCTCAGCCTCCAGAGTAGCTGGAACTTGTAGTGCGCCACCACGCCCAACTAATTTGTGTATTTTTAGTAGAGATGGGGGTTTCACCATGTTGAACAGGATGGTCTCGATCTCTTGACCTCGTGATCCACCGGCCTTGGCCTCCCAAAGTGCTGGGATTATAGGCATGAGCCACTGTGCCCATCACTAAATATTTTTTAACAAATCAAAATGCAAGGCCAGCCAGACATAGTGGGTGTGCCTCTAGTCCCAGCTACTCAGGGAGAGGCTGAGGTGGGAGAATCACTTGAGCTTGGGAGGTCAAGGCTGCCAAGATTGTGCCACTGCATTCCAGCCTGAGCAACAGAGTGAGACTCTGTCTAAGAAAAAAAAAAGAAAAGCAGCCAGGCCAGGTCCAGCTGGTCTTTCCTATATTCCTGACTTATACAATACTACTTTCCGGTGTATGTTCTTGTTCTTTATTACTGCATTTCCAGTACTTTTTATTTTTGTAAGAAGTGAGGTTTCTTTATTCAAAAATTGACAAATCATGAAATGCCTCTCAGCCCATCTCCTTACTCCTTACACTACCTTTCCATCCATGCAATCTCTGGCACAATGCGGTGACTCAGCAAATGCCAAGAAATGTAAGAAAAAAAGACTTAGTACTTCTCAATAACAATAGCTAGTATGTATTGAGTGCCAATTATGTGTCAGACACTGTGTAAAATGCTCTGTATCATCTCATCCAATGTTTATAACAAATGTGTCAGCACACAGCCTGAAGCATGGTTGAACCTTTTCAGTTTTAGCGTCATATGCTTTGGAATATGAGCTTGTCCATGTAGCCAAAGGGAACAGTTGAGATAGGTACATTAATTTGCTTAAGTGAATATATATCGGTGTCATTTTTTTTAAAAGATGCTGGCTATGCCAGCATAAATAAAGCCGTGGGGAATATTGCAATTGGGCAAATGAATAACTTTAAGGTACTCATTTTTTTAAAAATCCATCAGGCACAGCCTGGGCAACATGGTGAAACTTCCCTCTACAAAAAATACAAAAATTAGCCAGGCAAGGTGCCCACCTGTGGTCCCAGCTACTTGGGGGGCTGAGATAGGGGAATCAGCTGAGCTCAGGAAGCCAAGGCTGCAGTGAGCTCTGATCAATCATGCCACTGCACTCCAGCCTGGACAGCAGAGTGAGATTGTCTTAAGAAAAAAAATGTCAAGTACAGTGGCTCACACCTGCAATCCCAGCACTTTGGGAGGTCAAGGTGGAAGGATCACTTGAGCCCAGGAGTTGGAGGCAGCACTGAGCTGACTGCACCACTGCACTCCAGACTAAGCAACAGAGTAAAATCCTGCTTAAAAAAAAAAAAAGTCAGACAAACCCAAATTGAGAGACATTCTACAAAATACCTTACCAGTACCACTTAAAATCTTTAAGGTCATGAAAGACAAGAAAAGTCTGGGAGTGTCACAGATCAGAGGAGGCTAAAGTGACATAACAAGGAAATGTAATGTGATATCCTGGCTGGGATTCTGGAACAGAAAAGGGACACTTTTAAAAACAGTGAAATTGGATAGAGTATGGAGTTTAATTAATATTATTATACCAGGCTGCACTGGCTCATGCCTGTAGTACCAACTACTTGAGAGGCTGAAGTGGATCGCTTGAACCCAGGAGTTTGAGGCCATCCATCCTGGGCAACATAGCGAGACCCTGTTTGTGAAACAAAAGAAAAAATATATATGTAGATAAAACAATGTACCAATTTTGGTTCTTTAGTTGTGACAAAAGTACCTTAGTAATGTAAGATGTTATCAATAGGGGAAACTTGGAGAAGCATATATGGGAACTCCATACTGTCTTTACAACTTTTTCCTGAAACTAAAACTAGTCTAAAATAAAAAGCATGGCTGGATGCAGTGGCTCATGCCTATAATCCCAGCACTTTGGGAGGCCAAGGCAGGTGGATCACAAGGTCAAGAGATCAAGACCATCCTAGCCAACATGGTGAAATCCCATCTCTACTAAAAATACAAAAAAAAAAAAAAATTAGCTGGGCGTGGCGGGACGTGCCCATAGTCCCAACTACTTGGGAGGCTAAGGCAGGAGAATCACTTGAACCCAGGAGGTAGAGGTTGCAGTGAGCTGACATTGTGCCACTGCACTACCGCCTGGCGACGGAGCAAGACTCCATCTCAAAAAAATAAATAAATAAATAAAAAAGCTTATGATGGGAAGAAATAGCATGGGGAGAAATGCCAAATATAGGTGATGGGGAGGAAGGAAGGCAGCAAATCACACTGCCATGTGTGTACCTATGCAACAATCTTGCATGTTCTTCACATGTACCCAAAAACCTAAAATGCAATTTAAAAAAAAGAAGTCAAAACAAGAAAAAAAGAAAGCATATGAATAAAAAAGGTTACAGAGATTGGGGCCAGAGCAGAGATGACACATTTCAGATCCGTCATTCCATGCAGCTTGCCCTATCCCACCAGTTGGACTTAGCTGTATGGCCTCCTTACCAGTCTATTCATCCCTTAAGAGGCATATCCAAGATGTTGCCCTCTGCACAGTGCTGGGTGTCCAGGTCTCCATGAAGTTCCAGCTCTGGGGAACTTTGATGCTGCAGTGTTGTCCCAAGGAGAAACCTTTGGAAGGGAAGCACACATGGGTGTGAATTCAGGCACAAAGACTTGAAGCCTGGAGTGAAAGTTCAGTCTCTTAGACGTTTTTTTATTGACAAGGACCTTGGGTGTTTGTCTCATTTTTGTAGATCAAGACACTGGGGGGCTCCCTTTTCCCCTTAACCATGGCTGGAGGCCAAGATCAGCCTTCAAGGATCATCGTCAGGACCACCATGAGCTGGAAAGCCTTGTTTTCCTACCTCAGACGTAAAAAAGAAAAAAAAAAAAAGGAAAGAAACTGGGACTCAGTAAAATTGAGTAATTTATTTAAAGGCCAGTTAGGGCCAGGCATGGGGACTCACACTTGTAATCCCAGCACTTCAGGAAGCTGAGGTGAGAAAATCGATTGAGCCCAGGAGTTCAAGAACAGCCTGGGCAACATAGTGAGACCCTGTCTCTACAAAAAAATTAAAAATCAGCCCAGTGTGGTGGCACATGCCTGTGCTCCTAGCTGTTCAGGAGGCTGAGACTGGAGGATCACTTGGAGCCCAGGAGGCCAAGGCTGTAGTAAGCCATGATCATACCACTGCACTTCAACCTGGGCAGCAGAGTGAGATCCTGCCTCAAAAATAAGATAAGGTAAAATAAGATAGGCCAGTTCGTAGCTTCAGACATATTTTTCAACAATGTTAGTTTTTTCAATGTTAATGAAATATCCTTCCCTGCCTTTTAATGATTCTGACTCAAAACTCTAACACATGGAACAGAGGAAGAGAGCTGTTCTGGCAGAGGAGAGATGGGAGCCTCAGTTCTATCTATACATTTACACTTTACTACCTTCCAATAGGTTAATAAAAGGATTCCATAGGGTTCCAAAGAGTTATATAGGATTTCTATGGAACACTTGGAAGCAGAGTTCAAAATCTACGTTACTTTAAGGCTGCATACTGTTCAAGTATGGGGTTATTCTTTTTTTTTTTTTTTTTTTGAGTCGAAGTTTCACTCTTGTTGCCCAGGCTGGAGTGCAATGGAAAGATCTCGGCTCACCACAACCTCCGCCTCCTGGGTTCAGGCAATTCTCCTGCCTCAGCCTCCTGAGTAGCTGGGATTACAGGCACGCGCCACCATGCCCAGCTAATTTTTTATATTTTTAGTAGAGACAGGGTTTCACCATGTTGACCAGGATGGTCTTGATCTGTTGACCTCATGCTCCACCCACCTCGGCCTCCCAAAGTGCTGGGATTACAGGCGTGAGCGACTGCGCCCAGCCCGGGGTTATTCTTTAATTTACATAACCAATCCCCTATTGCTGGCCATTTTGTTTGGTCCAACTTTCATTTTTATGAAAATTCATCTCTGCCCTTATTTCCATTTTATCATGATATGGAATTTTTGAGTCAAAGGTATTTTAATGCTTTTAAGGCTTATTAACAAATCACTCTCCAAAATAGCTATAAGAATTTACAGTCCCAGCCTCAGTATTCATGAGTGGCCAATTTCCTTATAACAAAATCAACACTGGATTTTAACATTATTCTTCATTTGGCCAATCGGATACAGTAAAAATGGAATCTAAGTATTGTTCAAATTTGCATGTCTTTGATTACTGCTATGGCTAAACTTTTGAGGTGAATTTTATTGGCTATTTAAATATTTTCATTTGTGTTCTTTGCCCATTTTTTTTTTCTCTTTGGATTTTTGTTGTTATTGTTTTATAAAATTTCTTCACAAATTAAGACCTAACTTTTTATTTATTTATTTATTTTTTGAGACAGGGTCTTGCTCTGTCACCCAAGCTGGAGTGCAGTGATGTCAACATAGCTCACTGCAGCCTTGAACTCCTGGGTTCAAACCATCCTCCAGTCTTAGCCTCCTTAGTAGCTGCTGCTATAGGTATGCACCACTATGCATGGCTTTTTTTTTTTTAAGCAATACAGGGACTTGCTTTGTTGTCCAGGCTGGTCTTAAACTGGGGCTAGACTCAAGCAGTCCTCCCCCATCGGCCTCCCAAAGTACTGGGATTACAAGCATGAGCCACGGTACCCAGCAACTCCTTATCTATAAGTAAATACTTCTGAGTGTTAAATTTGCCTTTTGTTTATCATATAATTTTTAAATATTTATTTCAAATCTAGAAATCTTTTTTTTGTAGTTTCTGCTGTAAGCTAAATTTTCATATTATGTTTAGAAATATCTTCCCTACTCCAAAGATTTTCTTTTAGTGGTAATTCCCCAGCAGTGTATGTGTTAATACTTCTTTGGTAAAAAATACCATAGTATACTGGTTAAGAGTAAAAGCTGTAGGATACAAAGTTTCAGTTAGACAAGAGGAAGGAGTTTTTGAGATCTATTGCATAGCATGGTGACTATAGTTAATAATAATATGTTGCACATTTCAAAATTGCTAAGAAAGTAAATTTCAAATGTTCTTACCCCCAAAAAATGATAAGTATGTGAGGTGATGAATATGTTAATTAGCTTAATTTAATCATTCCACATTGAATACATATATCAAAACATCACATTGTACTTCATAAATATATATAATTGTATTTTGTCCATTAAAAATAAATTTTACAAAAGAATAAGGTACACCCACACACAGAAGTAAGTCACAGCTATCGGGTTAGTTAGCCCTAGATTTGAATACAATTTCTCTGACTTGTTAGTTGTGCGCCATTGACCAACTTCAGTCCTTTAAACCTGTTTACTCATCTGAAAATAGAAATAAAATTAATAGTTACCAACTTCATAGAATTGTATGATGCTCAGATTAGTTAATACTTATGACATGCTTGGCATCAGGTCTGGCAAATAGTAAACAATAATATGAATTATTACTGAATTCATCTTTATTTTTTCTTTGTTGTATTTTTTTTATTTTAATATATTTTTGTATTGCATTTTAGGTTTTGGGGTACATGTGAAGAACATGCAAGATAGTTGCATAGGTACACACGTGGCAGTGTGATTTGCTGCCTTCCTCCCCTTCACCTATATCTGGCATTTCTCCCCATGCTATCTCTCCCCAACTCCCCATCCCGCTCTGTCCCTCCCCTATTCCCCCCAACAGACCCCAGTGTGTAGTGCTCCTCTCCCTGTGTCCATGTGTTCTCATTATTCAATACCTGCCTATGAGTGAGAACATGCGGTATTTCATTTTGTGTTCTTGTGTCAGTTTGCTGAGAATGATGTTCTCCAGGTTCATCCATGTCCCTACAAAGGATACGAACTCATCGTTTTTGATTGCTGCATAATATTCCATGGTGTATATGTGCCACATTTTCCCTGTCCAGTCTATCATCGATGGGCATTTGGGTTGATTCCAGGTCTTTGCTATTGTAAACAGTGCTGCAATGAATATTCGTGTGCATGTGTCCTTATAGTAGAACGATTTATAATCCTTTGGATATATACCCAGTAATGGGATTGCTGGGTCAAATGGAATTTCTATTTCTAGGTCCTTGAGGAATTGCCACACTGTCTTCCACACTGGTTGAACTAATATACACTCCCACTAGCAGTGTAAAAGTGTTCCTATTTCACCACATCCTCTCCAGCATCTGTTGTCTCCAGATTTTTTAATGATCACCATTCTAATTGGCATGAGATGGTATCTCAATGTAGTTTTGATTTGCATTTCTCTAATGACTTCTGGGTTGAAAGTTGTTTTCTTTAAGGATGTTGAATATTGGCCCCCACTCTCTTCTGGCTTGTAGAGTTTCTGCTGAGAGATCTGCTGTGAGTCTGATGGGCTTCCCTTTGTGGGTAACCTGACCTTTCTCTCTGGCTTCCCTTAGCATTTTTTCCTTCATTTCAACCCTGGTGAATCTGACGATTATGTGCCTTGGGGTTGCTCTTCTTGAGGAATATCTTTGTGGTGTTCTCTGTATTTCCTGGACTTGAATATTGGCCTGCCTTGCTAGGTTGGGGAAGTTTTCCTGGATAATATCCTGAAGAGTATTTTCCAGCTTGGATTCATTCTCTTTGTCACATTCAGGTACACCTATCAAACGTAGATTAGGTCTCTTCATGTAGTCCCACCTTTCTTGGAGACTTTGTTCATTCTTTTTGTGTTTTTTTCTCTAATTTTGCCTTCTCATTTTATTTCATTGAGTTGATCTTCGACCTCTGATATCCTTTCTTCTTCTTGGTCAATTTGGCTGTTGAAATTTGTGCATGCTTCACGAAGTTCTCATGTTGTGTTTTTCAGCTCCATCAATTCACTCATATTCCTATCTAAGTTGTCCATTCTTGTTATCATTTCCTCAAATCTTTTTTCAAGGTTCTTGGTTTCTTCAAATTGAGTTAGAACATGTTCTTTTAGCTCACAGAAGTTTCTCATTACCCACCTTCTGAATTCTGATTCTGTCATTTCATCACACTCATTGTTCATCCAGCTTTGTTCCCTTGCTGGTGAGGAGTTGTGATCCCTTGTAGGAGGAAAGGTGTTCCGGTTTCACGTGTTTTCCTCCTTTTTGCGCTGGTTTCTTCCCGTCTTTGTGGATTTACCCACCTGTTGTCTGTGTAGTTGCTGATTTTCAGATTGGGTCTCTGAGTGGACATCCAGGTTGTTGATGATGAAGTTATTTCTGTTACTTAGTTTTCCTTCTAACAGTCTGGCCCCTCTGCTGTAGGACTTCTGAGGTCCACTCCAGGCCCTGCTTGCCTGGGGATCACCTGCAGCAGCTGCAGAACAGTAAGGGTTGCTACCAGTTTCTTCTTCTGCTATCTTTGTCCCAGAATGATACCCACCAAATGTCAGTCTGATCAGTCTTTTGTGAGGTGACTCTTTGGATATATGGAGGTCAGGGAGCTGCTTGAGGAGACAGTCTGTTCTTTATAGGAGCTCAAGTGTTGAGCTGTGAGCTCCATTGTTCTTTCAGAGCTGCTAGGCAGGTACGTTTAAGTCTGCTGCAGCAGAACTCATAAACTGCCTTTTTTTCCCCAGGTGCTCTGTCCTGGGGAGTTAGAGCTTTATTTATGAGTGTCTGTTGTGCTGCTGCCTGTTTTTTTTTTTTCAGGGAGGCAAGGAGGCAGCCTAGTCACTGTCTGCCTACAGAGGCTTTGCTGAGCTCCACCCTGCTGCCGTTGAGCTTCCCTGTAGTCCTGTTTATATGGGTGTGGTTAGAACTGTCTCAGCAATGGTGGCCCACCTCTGTAATGGTGGACTGTCTCTGTTATGGCAGGTTGCCTTGGCAATGGCAAGCTGCCTCAGCAATGGCGGACTACCTCCGTAGAGGTGGAGTGCCTCGGTAATGGTGGACACCCGTCCCCCACTGAGATGCACCATCCTGGGTTCAGCTGTGCTTGCCGTGAAACTCTCAAACCCGAGCGTTTCTAATTGCTGGTGGTTTTTTGTTTGTTTATGTGGGGGTGGGACATGCCGAGCCTGATCACCTGGCTCTCTGCCTCAGAGCCTTTTTTTTTTTTTAAGTTGAACGGTTGACTGTCTCCTAGGAGTTCCAGTCGCCTGCTGAAAGGGCGCCAGGATCTGTGTGATTTCCCATGTGGCAACCCACTGAGCTGGCTGAAACAATGGCACTGCCTGGGAATCTTTTGGCCAGCTTAAAAGGGCAACCAGACCAGTGTATTTTGTACGGAGAGCCAAGAGCCGCCACACCAGCTAAAACAGCCGCGCCGGCCAAAACAGCCACACTGGTGACCCGTGGGGGTCCTCCGCCTAGGAATCTCCTGGTCTGTGGGCAATAAAGATCCATCTGGAAATGCAGCATCCACTCACCCTCTGCGCTTTCACTGGGAGCTACAATCCTGAGCTGCTCCTAAAAGGGCCATCTTGGATCTTCCTCCAAAATCCTTTATTTCTTTTTATTTACTTTGAAATGGGAATTTTAGTTCTCCCTGGCTCCCAGTTTCCTCTCGCAGGATCTCTCACAGAGCACAGATCCTTTATTTTTTTATATATGATATGATATAGGGATTTGAGTGTTCTTTTTATCCCAGATTTTTAACCAGTTTCTTAGCATTTTTTAATAACTTGCCATTCCATAATTGATTAGAAAATGTCACTGTCGTGAAATATATGTTACATACATTTTTTAAGATAGGTATGGATGTAGGATTTATTGGTGGGCATTAGGAGGTGGCAGCACAGTGGAAGCCGTCACAAGAGCAGGGCCCAACACTTGTCCAGAGGACCGCAACTGGGGATATACTTGGCCCAACAGCCATCTAGGATGAGCCACTTTTCAGCCACCGTGTCTTCAAATTTATCTGCCTTGAACTTGGTAAAGCAGACAAGGTCCCTTAGCGCAACCCATGCAAGAAACTGGCAGCATACATTACCAAGGAAGCTGTTGTTTGCAGCCATTGCACAACAGGTCCCCATGAGGAAAGGAACTCAGTCAGCTTGATTGGCTGTAGCTTCTACATACTTTGATTTGTTATGGGCTTTCTACTCTATTTTATTTATTTGCCAGTTTACTTTTCACATTTAGCACACTATTCTACTTTGTAGCATTAATTGTGTAGCTTTTTAACATGTTTTCCTATTTAGTGGATTGCTTGAGGTCAGGAGTTCGAGACCAGCCTGGCCAAAAAATAAGTACACCTTTGATATTCTTCTTCTTCTTTTTTTTTTCCCTTCCCCACCCACCGATATTCTTTTTTTTTTTTCCAGTCAGAGTCTTGTTCTGTCACCCAGTCGGCTTGCAGTGACTAAATCTCGGCTCACTGCAACCTCCACCTCCTGGGTTCAAGCAATTCTCCTGCCTCAGCCTCCTGAGTAGCTGAGATTACAGGCACGTGCCACCACACCCAGCTAATTTTTGTATTTTTAGTAGAGACAGGTTTCACCATGTTGGCCATGCTGGGCTGGAACTCCTGACCTCAGGTGATCAACCCGCCTCAGCCTCCCAAAGTGCTGGGATTACAGGTGTGAGCCACCACAGCTGGCCTCAGTAGTTTTTTGTTTTTTAGACTGAGTTTCACTCTTGTTGCCTAGGCTGGAGTACAATGGCATCATCTTGGCTCACCGTCACCTCTACCTCCTCCTGGGTTCAAGGAATTCTCCTGCCTCAACCTCCCAAATAGCTCGGATTACAGGCATGCAACACCACACCCAGCTACTTTTGTATTTTTAGTAGAGACGGGGTTTCTCCATGTTGGTGAGGGTGGTCTCACTCCTGACCTCAGGTGATCCGCCCACCTTAGCCTTCCAAAGTTCTGGTATTACAGGCATGAGCCACCGTGCCAGGCCTATTATTCTTTATATTTTCATTATTACATTTACTGAAACAACTTCTGGTATGGAGCACTGTCATAAGCTTAGTAAAGGGAGTAGGGGAATTTGAAAACATGGTCACTGCCATGAGCCGGATGTATGTGTATTTGTGTAGGGGAGTGGAGGGAGGGAGAGAGATCTTCAATTTCACCATCATCCTCATGCCAGGCATCGTGTTTGGTTTTGGAAAATCAGGCTGAGTAGGACATGGACTATGCTCTCAAGAAGCCTTCAGTATAGGGCAGAGACAAATAAAACAGTGATTTTTAGCACCATGTGATTGTTAAGGCTGATACGGGAGCACAGAGATAGGTCATTGCAATGAGAAAGTGACAGCTGATTTGAGTTGTGAAGGATACAATTGAGGTCGTAAAGCAGAAAGGAGGTGAAGGAGAACGGGGCACAGGAGAAAGGTCCTCTAGGAAGGGTAACAGAATGTGTGAGGGTATGTCGATCTGTGGACGAGAACAACCTGTTCAGTGTAGTTGGAGGGGTTGAGGGAGGTGGGCAGATGACTGGAGTGTAAAGGTACATACACCTAAAATAACTCCAGGACATCTAAAGGGCAGCTTCACTGATCAAGTTCTAGCTGATGTTCCTTCTTCTCCCTGAAGCTTTCAGCATACTCCAGTCCATGAAGATGTGGTCAATCTAAATTACTCAGGAAGAATCCTGTGATATTTTGTGCCATCTTTTGTTCCCTTTTATTTGATTTCCACTCCTGTGCCTTGAACGTAGCTCCTACAAATTTACTTGCCAAACACATTTACTTCTAGATACTAGGGTATAAAGTGAACAAAATTGGCCAGTTGCAGTGGCTCATGCCTATAATCCCAGCACTTTGGGAGGCCAAGATGGGTGGATCACAAGGTCAAGATATCAAGACCATCCTGACCATTATGTTGAAACCCCATCTCTACTAAAAATACAAATATTAGCTGGGCATGGTGCTGCACGCCTGTAATCCCAGCTACTTAGGAGGCTGAGGCAGGAGAATCGCTTGAACCCAGGAAGTGGAGGTTGCAGTAAGCTGAGATCGTGCCACTGCACTTCAGCCTGGCAACAGAGTGAGACCCTGTCTCAAAAAAAAGTCTGTAAACCTAAAAAAAAAATAAAGTGAACAAAATGAAGACCCTGCCTGCATGGGGTTTATAGTTTGAATAAAGGAAGACAGAAAATTTAAAAAAAATAAGGATGTAGTTTGCTAGATGGCAATAAAGGATGCTTTGGAGAAAAATCTGCATCAAAGGGATAAATATGCAGTACTTACTTACTACAGTGTGTTATAGCTCCTCCCCACTAGACTGAGTGCTTTTTGAGGTCATAGATTTTGTCTTATCAATCCCTGTAGTTGGTTAGTCCAGTGCTTGGAAAAGAGTATGTGTTTAGTAAAAATAGAAAAGCAATATAGGTTACACCTGGGTGAGGCTGCCTTGGCCCAATTCAGTCTCTGCCACTAATTAATCATGACCTTGGATAAGGTACTCAGTTCTGTATGCCTCAGTTTCTTTATCTTAAAAATGAAGACAACGAAAGTTCCATCCTCAGAGGGTTTCTAAGAGAATTAAATAAGGTAATATATTAAAGCATTTAAAATTGTCCCTCTGCATAGGTAGCACTCAACAAATGACAACTGTTATTACTCAGTAATGGACTATAATCTGAGTATATTCCAACAACATGGATATTAAGGCAATGAAAATAATTTATTGTCAGTTGAAGATACTGCTTGTGCTAGAGTCCTCTTCTGAATTGACAGCAGTATATCACAAGCCCTCTCTGAGACATTTACCCAGAATATGGTGGCATGAGCAACTGACACAGTCCCTGGCTGTCCTTTCATGAACTTCAGACCCCACTTTGCATCCAGCAGCCCACCAGAACAGAGGCTCTCTGCCTCGTTACCAGGTTTGCGAATATGGCATTAAAAACAGGATTATTGAGCCAAGTCAGTGGCTCATGCCTGTAATCCCAGGCACTTTGGGAGGCCAAGGCAGGTGAATCACCTGAGGTCAGGAGTTCAAGACCAGCCTGGCCAACATGGCAAAAACATGTCTTTACTAAAAATACAAAAATTAGCCAGGCATGGTGGCACACACCTCTAGTCCCAGTTACTCGGGAGGCTGAGGCAGGAGAATTGCTTGAACCCCGGAGGCACAGGTGCAGTGGGCCACGATAGTGCCACTGCACTCCAGCCTGGGAGCTTGGGTGAAGGAGCAAGACTCCATCTCAAAAAAAAAAAGAAGTCTCTACTAAAAATACCAAAAAAAAAAAAAAATTAGCTGGGCAGTAATGGTACATGCCTGTAATCCCAGCTACCTGAGAGACTGAGGCAGGAGAATTGCTTGAACCTGGGAGGCAGAAGTTGCAGTGAGCCGAGATAGTGCTACTGCTTCTCCAGCTTGGGAGCCTGGGTGACAGAGCGAGACTCCATCTCAAAACAAAACAAAACAAAAAAACACAAAACCATCTCTTCTAAAAATAAAAATAAAATAACTGGGCTGTAGTGGTATATGCCTGCAATTCTAGCTACTTGGGGGTCTGAGGCAGAAGAATCACTTGAGCCTGGGAGTTGTAGGTTGCAGTGAGCTGAGATCATGGTACTGCACTCCAGTCTGGGTGACAGAGTGAGACCCTGTCTCAAAAAAAAAAAAAAATAGAATTTTCCAGATTTATTTGGTGATAATGTGTTCTGACAGTATTTAGCCTACAGGCCATGTACATTTTCATCATCTCTTCTCAGTGAAGGGATTGCCTGGAGCAATGTCATGTGTCTAGAAATATTGCCTTCTAAATTGTCAACAAAGTAAAAGAGAGTCATTTCTTAAATTTGTCTGGGGATGCTGTAGTTTGCAAAGCACTCTCTATCCATTATCATTCAATCGGCAAGCAAACACTCCAGAGAGGCAAGACGGGGTGATCATTTCCACTTAAGGACGATGAAAACAGAGGCTTATACCGTTAAGCTTCAGCCAAGTTGGCTGAGCTGCTTCTCACTCGTGATTCTGTCTCTATGTCCTACATGAGGCTTCTCACAAATTCTGATGTGGACCCTTTATCATAGTATTTATATTTTTGTATTTTTTTCAGCATATCCAAAACTTCCCCATGTTTAGACCCACAAGATGTATAACTCTATTTTTTTCAGGTTAGATGAAGCCAACTTCAGTCCACTAGGGCAGCATGAACCTTCTGCACCCAGTAACTTCCAGCTCTCTGTAATGGGGGCCAAAAACCCATGGTTACAAGGTCGAGGCTGGAATTCTGAAGTGACTCCAAACAGGTCCATAGTTGCCCTAAGTAATAATGGTGATAGATGATCTGTTACTATGACACAAATCAAGGCATGCTGGAAAATATACTCACGTCAGTGACTTTTAAGAAATTGGTGGTGTGTAGTATATTGAAATAAGTGTGCTAACTTATTATACCGTATAAAGATAGTAAAGCATCATCTAATATCAATAGAGGGGTATTTTGACACCAAGAAGATAGGAGAAATAGAATATCAGAACAAGGGACAGTACATTTGAAGAACTCACACATCATCCTAATATTTCCTGTTCTAATGAGGTCTGTGTAAAACACTTCATCAGGCACTTGCTTGGGGCTGGCATTTGAAAACACTGCTCTGAGAGTTATAATATCAATTCTATACTTTTTGGCCTGGTATCCTTAACTCCTGCTATGTTCAGAGCTGGAGAATTTCAGGCCTAAGAAGATAAAGTATGGACTAACAATAAAGGTTCTCTGAACATCTGAGATGGTGCCAAGACTTGTGAATCATTCTCTCTGGATATACCATTAAAAGCAGTGGAGGCCAGGCATGGTGGCTCATGCCTATAATCCCAGCACTTTGGGAGGCCAAGGTGGGCAGAACATGAGGTCAGGAGTTCGAGACCAGCCTCACCAGCCTGGTGAAACCCCATCTCTACTAAAAATACAAAAAATTAGCCAGCAATGGTGGCTCATGCCTATAGTCCCAGCTACTCGGGAGGCTGAGGCAGGAGAATTGCTTGAACATGGCAGGTGGAGGTTGCAGTGAGCCGAGATCACGCCACTGCACTCTAGCCTGGGCAACAGGAATGAAACTCTGCCTCAAAAAAAAAAAAAAAAAAAAAAAAAAGCAGTGAACGTGTGA